TTGTACTTTAAAGGGAACGCGAGAGACATCGTTCGACAGTGGGCCAATCAGGATTGAGTAGGCAAGACTGACTCACGGCAGGCGGCTATCGCGACTCCGTTGAGTGCTTTGACTCATAATGGGACGCGCGGCGTCCCGACAGTAACTGACCGCAAGGCGGTAGGGTGATGACACGTGTCGCTAGGGCTCTACTATCGCTTTCAGATTATTGACCCTTTTGGGCGTTAGAAGTCACTTTACATCAAGTTTGGGTTCATGCTGTGGTGAAGTTAAGGAGACTCCACTAGTACATGTGTCGTGCACTATAGTCCCATTCCACATTCCCTGCAGATATTATTGCCACGGGGGCTCTTTTATTCTGTTCACCCAGGAGGTCAGGATCATCGTCACCCTCTGTAGCCACCTATGGGGCATTTGCTCCACCCTTGAGGGTACCTTCTCGGTATCTCCTATGCCAGCCTCTATATGTTTTCCATAGACCTCTTGCAGGTGATCCCAACATATTATAGGGTATTGAGGCTAGTTTTACGAGTATTCATCTCGGCGCTAGCATATTTATAACACTTATGTTCTTGTGACTAGATGTTATTGTTGTATGTCAGGAGGTTTACTGCCTGGTTGACTGGCGGACAGGTACTAGAGAGGTAACCTGCTTGCCGTCTCGACTTACCTGTATGGGCGCATAGTAGGCCTGAGTGCATACTCGTAGGGCGCTTCGGCCTTTTGAGGAAAGAACGAAGAGCTTTTGGGGAACGTCTTTTTATGAGGTCTTAAAGATAGACAAACTGAGATTGCAAATTGAATAAAAGTACCTATAACGTGTTCTAATTTAAATAAACAGAACATACTAAGTCAGTTATAACGATAACACCGGTACGAACGAAAATACCAGCTCGTACGCATTCTTAACTAGTTCTTTTCAAAAAGTCTTAATTTCCATAGAGCCTTCAGCTCTTTCTTGATATTTTAAGGGTTGGGGTTCGGCAATATGTCCTTTATAGTGTTTGCTACGTCTCTGACTTCATTCACGTGACTGGTTCATTAGTTCATTTGCCTGCTTTGACGGTCTAAATCACCGATGGGGACCCACAGGTTACAACTAGATCAAGTAAGAAATATATAATTTCACATACAGACTAGATCTTCTTGAGCTACTGTCGGGTGCTTGCAAGTTCGCATCATGAAAAACAATTTCTAGTAACCGCTTCCTTTCCATTTGTGTGCTTCTATATACGTGCGGCTGTATGTTCGCCTCAGGGTTTTTTATTTGTTCTTTGCTCCAATACTCACCGCTTGCTTCTTAACATTTTTTTGCAGGCCAAGATCACCGGAGCGCCTATGGGCGACATCCCTGAAATGAACAGTGAGCAGACTAGTATGACCTTAAAGACCGCCACAAAGACCTTGCAGAGCCAGCAGTATGAGTCTCTTAACATGGTGTCAAATCCTGTCCCCTCTAACGTGCAGTGCACTGGTCTCGGCCTGAAATATGCTATGGTCAACAGGGACAACTACTTCTACGTGAATACAAGCGAAGCTGGTAAG